TTGCCCCAGTGATGTAAAGAAAAGCTATCCTCAAACAATGCTAGACTTCAGGTGAGTAATAAAAGTTGGCAAGCAAAGTTGGACAGTTCAATATAATGTATGTTGTTCCTGAAGTCACAGCTACAAAACCCGGTCCTGTCAATTTCTTTTTTCGTGTTTATAATGTTTACACAAGTACAACTACCTAGACAGTTTCCCTAACTCCATTCGTGCCAGTTAAAAATAAAAATGGTGTGGCCACTTTGATTCTTAGAAACTAGAGTCAACAGATGAATATTAAGGAAAATGGGAATCACATTGTCTACTTTTAATGTCCAGTACTGAGGATTCTCAAAACTATTTGTATGAGTAAGAATCAAGTCAGTCCCAAGTCAGTCCCAAGTCAGTCCAAGTCAGTCCAAGTCAATCCCAAGTCAGTCCCAAGTCAGTCCCAAGTCAGTCCCAAGTCAGTCCCAAGTCAGTCCCAAGTCAGTCCCAAGGCAGTCCCAAGTCAGTCCCANGTCAGTCCCAAGGCAGTCCCAAGGCAGTCCCAAGTCAGTCCCAAGTCAGTCCCAAGTCAGTCCCAAGTCAGTCCCAAGTCAGTCCCAAGTCAGTCACAAGTCAGTCCCAAGTTAGTCCACAAATCAGGTCAGGACTAAAGAGATGAAGAATGACAAGAGAATGCCACTGTCACAGTTCATTTAAATAGCTGGGAAGTTGACCTAGGGCTGAACGACTTGTGACTGACTTGTGGTGATTGTGACTAACTAGATCACAACTCAGCTGGGCGTCTTGTTAGGCCATACTCACCTGCATCTCAGCTTCATGTGCTATTTCCAAAGCAATCTGCAGGTTTTGGTGCCCATTGGCCAATTTATCTGTTAAAAGAGACACACACAAAATATATTACAGAATCCAAAGAAGTATGAACTTGACAGTATCGCTGCTTAAATACTGGCCGAGAAACTGAAAGCGATGCACTCCTTAAGATTTACTCTCTACGCTGCACTCAATGGTGCCATCTTGTACCGAAGAAGCCCTGAAGAGGCATACATGTAAACTCAGCCAACCAACTGAAATGCTCTTGTGAATTAGTTCAAGCACACTCGAACATACACTTTGCTAATAGCAATGTTTACTCCACAGCAATTTGCCTGGACTTCTGTCCGCTATAGGTCCTTCACATTTAATGTGAAGGATCAACCTGTCTCCCCTTCACAGGGGAGACAGGTTGGTGCAACGGGTACATTCCTTGCCGTGCACAGGCTCACGTTGGGTGTCTGCTTTATCAATCCCGCCTCAGCTGGCTTGTGGACTAGGTTTTCTGTCCCTGACTCTGTGGGTTACACTTGGAAAAATTGATCTGGAGTTTCAAGATCTTCCCACCTCTACTAAACTGAAGACGTCTTCAATCATTGTCTCCCTCTCTGCAGGTCTCTTCAGCGGCGTTCTAGCTAGGACAATTTTAGTGCCAGGTAAAGTTTTGGATTCTGAAACGTAGTGAGCGCAGTGAGCGAAACTCTCGTGGCTCATAGCCAGACTGGATTTGTGCCCTCTATTGATACCGCTGTTTGACTGTTCCCGAGCCAAGACTACGAACACGTGCATGCTACCTCGGGGGAGACTACATTATTATCCCATAATTTCACATCCAGATCTCGTAACAATGCTACCTAGATGTTCTCAACACTTTCAGATGCTTGACATACAATCGAATCGGTACATTTTCAGTAATATTTCAGTTCATTTTTGGAAAATCGGTTCACGGTCAATTTGAACCCGAGAGTCGGGTGGAAATTTGCAATACCTGGTTGTGCCACCCGGCGCTGCTCACCGTGGCTAGAACACTGCTCTTCGGGATTTCAATCTTAAAAAGTGTGGAGGGTGTTTTTCGAGGAATCCGAGGTTTCATTACCATAAACAGAATAATAAAGAACAGGTCAACAGAGATAGTGACTAACTGAAATACAGCGGCAGAGGAACAGGATTGGAGAGGTAATGAGGCACAAAGTCAGTTAGGAGCAGTTACCTAGAAGGAACACATCTGGAATCTGTTGCCCATCTTGAGGAGACTCTGGCATTCGGGGGACGGCCTGGGATTTGGGTTTCAGCATCTCCTTCAGGTCCTCAGCCCGAGCCATGTATTCTTGCACCTGAAAGATTATGAGAAAAGATAACGGTTACTTTCTATTTGGCCGCACATCTACCTCGCAATATGATGGGACTAAGATTGGATGGGAGAGGGGGACTGTGGTCTAGTGGTGAGGGTTTGTCGCTCCTGATCGGAGGGTCAGTGGTTCACATTCAACTTTTGGCTGTTTGTTGTATTCTCCTCTCTGCACTCGGGAGTATCAAACGGTACCAGCAATTTGGCAGTTTCTAGGATCATCCTGGAACGGACTAGTTTCGCATCCAGGTAAGAATTAAGAGATAATTCTGTCAGGAAAGTGGTGATGAAAATCAGCCTGATGAGGCCAGTGCTTAGAAAAGGTTTTACTTTAAGCGGCAGTTTAAGATGGGACTTGATGGGATTGAGATGTGATGAAGTAGGCAAGGACTGAACTGAAATTAATTTTTAGTTCGACAAACCTTTGCTCGGAGAACTTCTTTCCTCTGTGCGTCTTTCTCAACTGTAAAAACAAGGGTAGAAGAGCATTAGCATAACAATTCTCTTGAAAACAATTAAGGCTCTTTATTCAACATAAAGAAGATTTAAACTGCTATCAACGTATTTTGTGATAGCCAATATTTAAGTTTGATAACTGCACGACTGACAGCATTAAGTCTTCACTGGTATTTCTTTCAAATGTGCAATTGTAACAGCATGCTTACAAACAGGAACATAGTCATGAAAGCCGTATGGCGTGATTCTTACTGTGCATTTAGTCTACTCGTGCAAACAAGTTTTCAATTAAAAAGGCTAACTGGATATGCATTTGAAAGTAATCTATTAAAGTGAGTTTCATGCCTTTGAAAAGACTATGTTCTGAACAAGAGGAAATGAAAATATTTTTCTGACCAGTTTCGGTGCTTACACTGAATGGCAGGTAGAAAGTACTGTAAGGATTCACAGTAAAGCTGAATGGCAGCTTTGATGTCTCCAGATGAATCCTTCTCAACGGCTTGGATAACTAACGCTTTCTGAAAAGCAAAGATAGAATGAAGTAAAGTGACTAGATATATGACTAGGATGGATACCCACACCATGAAACAAAACCACACCTGTGACTTTCGTGGGTGGAAGTATAAACTCTGATGCCAGTGTCACAGTGAGTCGGTTTAGTACCGGTAGCTTAAGCATGCATTCTGAAGGTAACGCTGGCATCTGGGCATTGTGTGATGTGTACAGTGGCCACTTATACACCTGTGAGTAATTCCGGAAATTATGGGGGTCCATTTTATTTGTGTGTCCCCAGTCACATCTGACATGATTTTTGAAAGTTCAGAACACCTTTTCTAATTTCCAAGAGTGATGAATTCATGCAGATTACCTGCCAAATAGTTAAACAGTTTGAAATCAATTCTGGGGATATTTCCGTGTCATATAATAACGGTCAGATGTAACAGGGACACAAAAATGTCACACTTTTGGACCCCTAATTTCTGGAATTACCCGTGTATGTTAGCAATATTTTGCCAGTAAATGATAAATTTCTTCCATCCATTACTTGAACAATTCCAAACCAGTTGGACGTGTGGAAAAACATGTAGACCATAGGTGTCAACTGGGATTTTTTCGGGGGGGGGGAGCCAACACCTTTTCAAGTAAAGGAAATCTGGGGAGGGGGATAAAACATTGATCAAAGCAAACTGTAAAAATGAAACTAACTCTAGAAGGAGGTCAATTTCATGTATTTTCAAGTATACTTTCCATTTGTTTTTCTATTTCTTTTTTCCAGGGAAGGGGCAAACGTCCTGCCTTGCGATAACCGTGATGCAGGCTACGAACTTAGTCAAGACAGAGTAGATTTTCGTTTCATTCAATTTTTATTTTCCTATTTACAACTGAATATTGTAGGTAAAAAGGTTGCCCTCCATTTACGACATTGAATTGGACAACAGATTGGACCCCTGACTAAATGCCACCTGGATCTTTACTTTTACTCAGGCTACACCCTGCATGCTGATTCATACATGTACATGGACCAGACTTTAGAGTGTCCAAGTGCCAGCAAAAAGTTACTATCACTTGGGCAAACAGCCAATTTACAGAGCATGTGCATCACACATCATGCACTTGAGGTAAAATGGACCCTTGGAGTGAGAAGTCCACATCTAGCAATTAATGTGGTTTAATTGCATGAGACAAAATTGTCTTCTTCTGAGTTACAATGCTAATTTACATGTACGTGTGAGGGAGTGACTTCAAATGCTCAAATCTCACACTCAGTGATTGAGCCTTGGCTACCCCACAAAAGTGAGTGACCACTTACAGCTTTCTTGAGTGACTCGGTGCTGGGAATGTGCTCTAGATCAATGAAGGAATGCTGAAAGAAGTCGGGAAAGTCTATCCTGTCAGCTGGATCTCTCTGAAGGAGCTTGAGGAGAAGGTCTCGGCATCTGTCTGATATAGGGATGGTGTCTGGAATCTGGACCAGGGAATTTTCAAAAAATTTTGGACACATTATAGGCTGGTTTTGCTATAAAATAGGCCTATCGTGCAGTGTGTAAACATCTTACATCTTTAACGTTTTCCTTCTATTGATGACATGGACATCTTTCTCTGTTAATTGCATCAAACAATTTGGCAGTAATATCGTGCATTTCTTCCATTCTGGCATTTAACCAATAATTTCAGAAGAGCAACAATATTGCAAAGAAGCCCTTGTAAAACATTCTCCTCCTTGTAGTCACGTGCAGTCCAAACAACATTTACGAGATGGAGTTTTCCTCAAATCTGACCTCAAATACAATGTACCATGCTCAGTCCCCTGAAAGTTGTAGTTACCCTAGTTCTAATACAAGAAGATATCTGCACTACATCAACCATACCAAACCCATCACCGGTGCCGGGCCGTGAGGTCATTTATTGCATGTCAGTAAGGACCCCTTTGGATTTCTTTCACACACAATGTGAACTACCAGAAGGCATGAGCTCATCAACTCAAGCCCCATAGGTGCCTATTTCAACAAAATGAGTTGAAAGTCAGCATTTTCAAACATTGAGATATTGGTATTTTGAATTCAGCAAAAAGAGAGCTTTCCAATGGTACATGTGTGTATATGGAACACCTAGAGTAAAAGTATGTGTTAACAATGTGACATTATTTTGGCAGCTTTGCGTTTAGTTCCTGACACTGTTTCAACATTTCTGACATAGCACGAATAATGCTATCATCGAAATTGCTGAGAAAATGACATTTTTTAATATATGATCCTTCAAAATATTCAGAATTAAATACATGTAAGAGACGGCTTACTCTTTCCAAATATTACAAAACCCCGAAATTGACCTCCACTTCAATATGACTTTGAACCCTCAAAATAGAAGAGACATGAATCAGACTTTATGCTCATTTAGTTGTGATGGGTCACATTAATTGATTTGATTAAATGATGTAGGACTCAACGCAAACTTCATGTTCATTATTACATTAAAAAATCAGGCCCTTATTGGAAAGTGATTCACATGTAGCTACCACAAAAATCTTTATGGCTGAATTCGGGCGGCTTGTTCTCGTATGTTCGCGAACAGCTTGATTCGTTGTTCTTGGGTCAGCCGCTCGAACGCCGGGAACAAACAACTGGTTATCACAAGCAACATGCAACATGGCGGCTTCCTTGTAAGTTATTCGAGAGTTAAGGTTTGGATAACTAGGCTGAATTTTTTTCTATGTAAATAGGAACATTCTTTTTTGTGTAACGGAAAATAATCGATGTTAATTTCGCAAAACCCCCTGTTGTCTCTGGCTTTGGAAGCCATCTCTCTACTTTTGCAGCTGTTCAAAAATCAAAACCTCACAAGTGTTTCTGTGTTCCAGTAATACCCTGATGAGGAGGTAGTTTGTGATCCAGTTCCGAGAGCAGTGTTCTTGAATCGTGTTCCCACTGTTCGAGCGCAAGAACAAGAAACCCGTGTCGAGAATAGGCCACCCAAACTCGACCCAAGATATTCACAAACTCTTCCCAGTTCACAAGTGGGCCTTATTACTTAAGGGGAAGAATCTCTTGTTTGACTTATTGACACTGTCCATTCTCCTCTGTATCTGTCATTTTGTTCCACTTACCTGTACAGGCTTAGAACTTCGAATCTTCTCTGCTAACTCGGTGAACGTTTTGGAGGCAAATGGAGCATGGCCAAAGAGACACTCTGTTGAGAGAAAAAAAGAAGAAAGAAAAAAGAACGAAATGTAAATGGTATCATTTGGGAGTGCATGCTTGCGTTCACATTAAATTGTGGCCGTTGAACTATTAACAATAGGTCCACATGTTGGCAAGGGTTCACCACTGGAAAAATCACGTAGGTACAAGTCCCATGAAAGCCCAAAAACAGTTTTTGGTCCCCACAACATCTAAGTTTCACGATACGTTTATTGCAGTCCCCACGACTATGGAACCAATATATATGTGGGTAAGTCTGGGCCTGTTGTCTTACACAGATCCGGATCGTAATCAGTGATCCGTCGCCGGTTCACTGACACCAAAAAACCCGTCTATAATGGACGGGGAGACCCAGCTCTTGGATCACTGATCCTGAGCCGGATCTGTGTGAAACAAACAGGCCCTCTGTGCCCATACCTGTAAGCAATCATGGATCCTTTTGGGTCCATATACGGGTGACACTCCTCAATTGGAGAATGTCTGTACAAATCCTTTGGGAGCCCATTATAAGGACAGTTACAGGACATGAACATGACAATCTGTCCAGAACAGGAACAATAGGGGGCGTGCTTTTACACAGCAATTGAAGACAGTCCTGTGGTAGGAACTAGCTCCATTACTGCATGCATGTGCAGCCTCAAGTGTGGGCACATGGGATCACTTTCTGATTGAATGTACATGTACATGTATGGTCATTGCGTGTGTGCCGAGCATGGAAAACTTCCCCACTGAGTCTACAATTCTTTGCCGATGAGGGTGCACTTCAACTTGTGGCAGATACTACATTCGCTACTGAAGGGGTATATGTATATATGCATTCGCGCTATTTTAGTTGAAGAAGACAGTTGTATTGATTAAAGCACCTACACGATATGGAACTGCTCCACCCACAAAATATGTACTGATGGTGATGATCTCACAAAATAAACCCAGCCACATGTTACCCATTCCAAGAAATAATTATGTATGCAGCAGCTTGGACTTCCCATGAAGGGACACTATCACACTCCTACTGCTACTGGTAGTTTCTTCTCTTTCTTTGGGATGAGGTTAGCCAACACCATCAGGACACACAAAACATGCAGTGGTGTGTGCTTCAGATGTGGCCTTCAAAAATTGATTGGTGTCTCATGGACAACCACCTGATGACAAAGTATTTGAACCCTTTTTCTCAAGTACTATCAGTGTGGTCAATTGCACCATCACAGTTTTCATTAGAAAAGTATGCCAAAACTCAATTTTAAAAAATTTCCTCTAGAATTTTTATAATGTATACCTTAAACTGTAAAGGTGCATTGATATGTAGGAATACAATGGAACGGTGTAACCTGTTCCTGATTTTCGCGATGTTTTATGTATTTTGTCTATAAAATGTGGCAGTGAAATTCACTGGCGAGGCAAGATAATTAATAATTCATTATTATGCAAATCACAAGCCCCGCCCTCCTTCCCAACATTCATATTACTCTGCATGGTGGCAACATTCTTTACATGTATTTTAAGGGTATGTAATTACGGGCAAAATAAAATATTAGACTATAGTTTTCTTTGGGAACAAAATGCTTCTGAATCCCAATGACATGACTAGAGACAGGTAACGTGTGTAAAGAAATTACTTGAAAATAAAATGTTTTCATTTCTCCACCTGTATCAAATGAAGACAGTGGAGAATCAAACGTAGCAACTCCTTACAGTACATCACTCCATGAACATCCACCTGGCATTGCTTGACCCATAAGTACCTGTTATTTTACCTCTTCCTGGTCGGTTGACCACGTTACATGCAGTTCACTAATCCAGGCTAGTGCCATGAGCTTGAACTATACGGTACAAGTGAAGCGTGCATGCAGTTTCTCCTGTTGGTCACAGTATTTCAGATTTTTTACCAATTCAGGTGCCCTGAATTACAAGACATTCAAAAGTTTCTTATTTATGTTTACGGCTGGTGCCCTGAATTACAAGACATTCAAAAGTTTCTTATTTAAGTTTACGGCTGGTGCCCTGAATTACAAGACATTCAAAAGTTTCTTATTTATGTTTACGGCTGGTGCCCTGAATTACAAGACATTCAAAAGTTTCTTATTTATGTTTATGGCAGAAGATGGACAGGCAGGATCACATCAGGAAAATAAAACCCTCTTCAGATCCATTCACAGTCCCTCAACAGGCTTAGAATTTGTGCACTGATAGACCATCACCCACAACGGGAATATTTCCTCTACCTTTTCTTACTATATACTGCTTGCCAAAACACTACGCACATACAAAGCATGCAATGGTGTGTACTTGTAATGTGCTTGCTAAAAGTTAGTGGAGTTACCGTTACCACTCTGCTGAAGATGGCCTTTATGAAATGCCTCTCTCAAAGACTGTCAATCTGGCCATCTTCCGTATCACCGTACTTCATTAAAATTTGAGAGGAAACTCAACAAAAGAGGATTTGCTTCACTTCAAATTTGCATGTTTTGCTCGACTGCAAAAAGTTTTAATGATGCTTTTACAAGAATACTGTAGAGAAATTATATTCAAGGATTTTGGCTCAACATTTACTTTTTAACAAGAATTGAACATTGACCTTGATTGACACTGTAAAATAATGGATATTTCATTATGCAAATTGCATACTCCACCCTCTTTTCCAGGATTTGTGTTACAAGACTGTATGGATGTGGGGGCCACTACCTCCATGGTTAAACCCCCACCTCGGACCACGCCCCCTTCCTCAACTTGATTAGGAACATAACGTAACATTATCACTCAGGAAATCTCTCGCAATTCGATTATCTCTGCCTTTGAAAACAATTAACCTGCTGTGAACTATGTACGCAGGGTAACCAAAGCACCATTCAACGTGGTTCGACGTCGCACATCTCCCTTTCAGATGAAACCCCTTCAGCAATCCAAAACGATCAGATAAAAATATTGGAAGAGTACCTGTGAGTGGACAAGGAGGCTTTACTTAATATTACTTATAAAACCACAATAACCGGATGAGATAAAATATAACACAGTTCGGAGAAAATGAACATTTCACACAGGACCAATGGCAAAGACATCAAACCAATGAAACCTAAGCATAGAAAGCATCATTTACAGGTACTTCTATATTCATGTGCCTTTTTGTGCCCTAAATGAAATGCAGCGTTCGTACTGCATAATAATTTCCATTGGCAAATCTCATTGATTTTAACTACTGCAAGGAATGCCTGGCGTGATAACGTACAGCATGCATACATGTACACATATGTACATGTTACCTAATTGAGGCCGGATGGTGTGTAAACACACACAGTTTTTCTTATTTGTCAAAATGCATTTCAAGTGTGCGTGCCACACTGCTTAATATAGCTCATGGGTTGCCATCTGCTTTTCTGCCCGGCTTCCAAGGGCTGTGCAAGGGGTCGTGAACCTCAGGTTATGACCATTTTCTTTCCTATAGGGGATTGAAGACGTATAAACCAATAATTACGGTCTACCCTATCTTTTGTCATGAAAGATTCCAATGTTTCCCAAGCAAGCTGAATGTCTATTGGATGATGGATGTAAAACTATATTTCCTTTGAGATGCTGTTTTCTCGGACTCAGAGAGACACTTATACTGCAGTAACTTGAAGGGATTGGTCCCCAGAAAGCATAGTTAAGTACTGGTTCAAGTTCTACGTCTTTACTCCCCAGAACGGAAATGGTCGTAACCTACAGGTTCATGACCCCATTCACGGCCCATTGAGGACAGAAAAGTGGATGGCCGATTTTCAGCTGCCAGAAAAAAGAGGAAAAGTAAACCTGCTTTCTTTTGTTGCAGCAGAAAAGTAGAAAAATGCATTACAATCAAATGTTCCTTCTGCCGTGCTTTTGCGATGGCAGAAAAGTGGAATAGTCGAAAATTGAATGTTACAAAGACGTAAAATCTACTTTTTACTATTTTGATAGCAGAATAGCAGATGGCCACTTTTTTTCCTCCATGCACAACCTGTTTTGTACATAACTTAGGTTCTACCTTCCCGACCCTGCTACGAACTACGCAGCAACAGGCTTCTCAAAAATTTGTTTTTAAACGTGTTCAACGAGCGTTATCTAGTTCGAGATACTAAAACGAGATCCCAGCATAAACTTGCGGTACATGATCCCCCAGTTCAATCAAACGCCTCGTAGTTCACACGGTATTTTTTAGTGCACCAACCTATACTTGAAGCTCGAACTCTGCACACAAAACTACAGTGCCAAGAAATGGGACTTCAAATTCACACAAAACAAATATACATAACATAGACTTATAAAAGATCTGGTGTCAAAATCATATTAAACCTCCAAACGTAGAGAGACTTCTGTCCTGCGATGTGCTGCAAGGTTATGCATGTTATAATTTTTACGCTATGCAGGATCTGCCCACTTCAGGAATCTCAACCTTGCGACGTACCACTCGGTTGCCTGCTCGTACAATGACGTCGCAAACCCCAGCTGATCTGATCCACGAATGGCCGTGAGAGCTGTGTCAATTGCGAGACCGTAGGGATGAGATTCTCCCGGTTTAAACTTCTAGAACGCACCCATTGCACAAACACATGTACATGTACATTTGTACATGTCACCATCTTTCACAATGTTTTAACCCTTCCACGAAATACCCGATAAGGTTACCCAAAATCATGCGATCGATACGCAAAATTACACATACAGTAAATCACGGTTGGCAATTAGTATTTGAATAAAGCGCCTTCTGGTAAATACAGTGTTTTATCATTAAACAAAATATCCTGAAAAGCAAAATTAATGAATATCAAACTAAGGAATAATAATTGATATGTCAAGATTTCATAAAATACGGACATCAACTACTTAAATCTCCGACGTTCTGGCACAAATTATCGATATTTACGTCCAAATTCGTATGACTTGAAGGCTTATAGGCTGCTACTATGCATATTAATAAGTGACAAGTAAAATCCGCCCACTTATGCATATGGATCATACACACTTTGACACAGTATGTCGAGTGCGCTACACACGGTCACGCAAAGTAGCGGTTTTTTTATTTCGATTTCGATGTCGACCTAGTCGAGTCGTCAAGGTAGGATTAAAAAAATGCATTTCATTTCCAAAATGAAAATTTTCTTTGACTGCACAAACTCTAATGCTGTTTTAAGAGGAACAATTAAGAAAAATTCTGTTTAAGATTTTTCACTCAATATTTTTACTTTTTATTAAAAAAGATTTTAGCACTGAATTTCATTCACACTGTAAAAATGCATTGATTGTTCAAATCACATACCTCGCCCTTTTTCAAATATTCATGCTACAAGACTGTCAATAAATATAAATGTGCGTATGAAGTGATGGAATTAAATGGGTGCCAGTACCTCCATAGTTTAACCCCAACACATCACTGAGCAGGTGCCCTTCCCCAACTTGTGATTAGGAACACAGCGTAACATTACTACTTCTGAAATCTCATGCCATCTGATTATCTCTCGACAACAAACCTGCCGCGGACTATGTACATGTACCCAGGTTAACCAATATTACTTTGACATAATCGATCTGTCTTTCGAAATTACAGAAATGTGCAATTACATATGGTCGCATGGCCATTTTGGAAGAATGCCTCTTATTAGACTGGGTGGCTTCACTCAATAATGACCACCACAACCAGATGAGTATAATACTGAAGTATGGAGAAAATGAACATGATCAACATTTCGCACGGTACTGATAGCAAAGACGTACCGATTCATAGATCAATGAAGCCTGAGCGTAGAAATCGTCACTTACCTCCACATTCATGTGCTTTTTTTGCGACGCACTGAGATGAGTTGCTGTGATCGTAGTGCAAACAAAGTTGGACTAGCAAATCCCCGCCCAGTTTTATTATTCCAAGGCACGCACAGCGCGATGCTGTTTCAATGTGCTTGATAATGTTCATCCCTCCAAACTTGGCGCCAGGACAGTTCAACAGTAGAGCAAGAAAACCTTTAGGCTACGCCGAACTACGCGGACAGCCTTGACAAAAAAAAATTAGTTACAAGCAATAACGAGAGCGCCAACACTTGGGTAAGACCAATGTAAACTTCATTCACACATCCTTCAAATTCAAAATCGTCTCTAGGTGAAACACGGTGCTTTATAACCATGGAGATCCTTTTCATAGCTCCATGAACTAACACAAACTAGGTTAATTCGAACTATGCACATTTAATTATGAGTCCCAAGGAAAGGGATCACTGAATTTACACAAACAGTACATGTATATATTATGTTGACTTATCAAGATCTGGTGCTAAAATACACATCAACCTCCAAATTTAGAAAGGATGCTGACCTCAGGTGTGCTGCAAGCTTTATGCATATTATGATTTTTATGCTAAGCAAGGCCCACTTACTCCACGAATCTCAACCCGGCGACGTGACTCGATCGCACGTCTTACACATAACGCACATAGAGCAAACCCGACTCAGTCCGGGATGGCCGTACTTAGAACTGTTGACCCACAGCAAACTACGTACGCAGGAACATGTACAGTACATGTGCCTGCAAAATACTCCAGCACTTTCATACCCCCGTGACGATCTGACAATCTTCTCCCTTTCGGAAGTTAAAGGAACCAGGAAATAGAAATGTTTTTATAAATTTTACTAAAACCCTTGAAATTGCATCTTTGGGTTTCAATTAACCTCATTTTGAATTTAGTTTTTTGTTTTTAGTTTTAACCCATATTTTGATGCTTTTTAGGTTTTTATGCTAATGAATTTGCATATTCATGAGCAGAACTATGATGTCATCCAAGGCACAGAATCTCAATGTTGCACTGATTTGTGCACAAGAAATTTCTAGATTTTTTTAACCACCCCTTGGTTCACATTCATGTACCATTTTGTGCCATAGAAGAGTTTCAAGGCTTCGTATTGCCGCATATCGTTAACAATGGCAAATCATGCCTTTTCAGTGCGCCTCGAATCGCGTGATTTCATTAAGACATGAAACATCATTCTGTTATAAAGATAATCACTTGCTTTTGGGCATGTGATTAGTAAGGGGTATTGCAGCATACCTGTGTCCAAAAATTGTTTATCTCTATGGAGTGAATTTTTTTATGTGTGGCCTTTGACAGAAGTGGCAAGTTTCTTTTGCAGTCCAGTGTATATCCACATTCATACACTATTCGGTGACGCACACGAATTGCAAGCAATACGGCACACATCATTTACCCTTGGAACGTGTATGCAAAACACACACGTGCTCGCTCGACTGTTCATCACAACCGTCGATCTAGCATACACACTTCAAATTTGCCAGACACAGATACAAGTCCATAACATGCATGTAAATATACACAAATGTACAATACGCGGGATGATCTACGTAATTTTATCACTGAGTTATCACAAACCTGCCGCGAACTACGCTGGCAGGCTTGACAAAAATTTATTAAGTTGATCAAATCTTTAGCGAATAGTAACTACTTCTACGAGCGAGTCCAATTTGATCAACAACCGCCTCTTAGTTAACACGGTGCTTTTTTGACTCCCTAAATTAAACACGAATTCTAGAACTATGCACATCAAACTAAAAACGCCAACAAAAGAGATTATTAATTCACACAATACAAGTATATATTACGTCGAATTATCACGGGCTGATGCCGAAATTCACTGTTAGTCCAGAATTTAGAGAGGATTTTGTAGCACGAAGCACGGCAAGGCTTATGCATATTAACATATTATGCTAATGTAGGCCCGCCTATATCTCAACCTGGCGACGTGCCTCCATCGCGCTCTGCGACCGACATGGGCCGGTGCACAGGTGTACTTGTACATGTACATGTACAAGTACGTGCTTTACGGTAGATGTACATGTACATGTACTGTGCTCTAAATGTACATGTACATATACATGTGCGTACACGTACAGTACATGTACATGTACACAGTACAGTCATATACCGCGCGCGCGGTACACGACCGGGCCGTTGAATGCCGTTTCAAATATGAGAGACGGGACGGTGGGAACGAGGTTTAAACTCCCAATCGCGCGGAAGCTGAAGACACACCGACGATGCTATGAATGATGTAACTTAACAAGCGACCATGCCTGCCTCACAACCTATACATAACAATAACAACCTTTGAGAGTGATTAGCCGCCCAATAAAGCACACAGTACAGTTTCCTAACATCAGCGCAACCTGCACGAAAAGTAAATTACACTTGATGTACAACAATGTTTGGAAAAAAAGCTTCCGAGCAAAATGGGTGTTTTATCATCAATGACACATCCTGAACAGTCACATTAATGCATATCAAAATGCACGAATAAAGAACTTAATACATAACAAATTCCAGACAAAATCTTAGACGATGTATTAGGGAACTCTTTCCCTTGGTTTTTTTTGCTCCGTGTCCTGCTTGCCTTAAGCTGTCTCGATCAGTCACATGCCTTTGCTGTCTGTTCTGGTCCTCTTGTAACATTCGCTTAATCCTTTATGCAGGCAAGATTATGGCTTTATACTTTATTTCAGTTGTAATTCAGTACATGTACCATGTAAATTCTTATTAAATGATTAGTCGGCGTTTTCATGGGATGATCCAACAGTCAGTCAATTTTCAATCAATGTCATTCCTCTTGAGGTTGGACTCCTCTCAATATTTAATTAATTACAGAAACGAGTGTCATATGGGCTTGTCGATCGTGTCTTTTGCAACCAGTTTGATGGGACCATGTCCTAAAACAGAAAATATGGACACTTTGGGGTATTCAAAAGTTGGCACCAGGCCATTCAGACATTTCCATTGAACTGATTTGTATGAGTTGTAATAAAAAGTTGTGTATTTCTTTTGCAAGTCAAACAAAACTTGACTTACACACCTCAACCGAATCAAACCAGCAACATAAAAGTCAAAACTTCAACGACAAAACGGGGGAGGGGGGGTGCACTTGGATGAACTTACCAAACATGATGACTCCCACTGACCACAAGTCCACTTTGGCATCGTACCTGCCCTCGCAGATGATCTCCGGAGCCATGTACAGCGGTGAGCCTCGCAGAGAATCTGCCCGCACATCCTCTGTCATGTACAAGGCAAAACCAAAATCTGCGGGAAGAATATAAAACTTGCAACAAATTTTAGGCATGATGGTTGTAATCGTTTCATTTCACAGTTTAAAATCAAAAGAGTCGCTCTGAAATTTATACATGACAGAAAATGCAGTGGGGGGGTGGTGGCTGGTAAGTTACTGACATATTCGCAGTGTTTCCCTAGTGGGTTTATACATGTATTCTTGCCATGTCTTGAGCACTTCACAACTTGGTCTTTACTAAACTAGCTTATCAGACCCTGTGGACACCAAATTTGGTCACCCTTACTGACCTGCTAGCTTGAGTACTGGGTCGTAGGAGTTGGACAGGAGAAGATTCTGTGGTTTCAAGTCCATGTGGGTGATGTTTTCCAACTGTAGATGGTGTAGAGCACTCGCTGGAAATAATTCAAACCATTGGATCATAAATAATTACATTCACAGAACAATGACACCGTATAAATGTGGTAAAAGCGTGTTCTTGTGTTGTGTTGAACACTGGCCCTTGGACTTTACGGAAAATGTGAATGGCTTTGGAGTTGCAAAGGGCACCATGTAGGAGAGAAAACAAAGCAAAAATACTTAAAGTGTTCGGTAACAAATGTTTATAAAATTCCAAGAAAATCATCATTTTCATCCATGCTTTGTTAGTTTATTTACGACTTGTATAAAATCTCAACAACTCTTACTGCCAAAATGGCAATGTGACAGACGTAACGATGAGAAAGTTCCTTGATAATGCTTACTGTACAATAACGAACACCTTCTTGTCTACAGATTGTTACAAACTCACCGATTTGTCTGACAAAGACCCGGACTGTCTGCTCTGGTAAAGCTTGCTTAGTCCGGACAAAATGAGACATATCCCCTCCACTACAGTACTCCATGATGAGGTAAATGTAGGAATCATCCCACTGTTTGAAAAACAAGGAGGTTAGTCCAAAGTATGTAATCCAGTTATCAAACTATTTGTGGAGCAATGCCAGGCTTAGATGGACGGGTGGCCTTACTGCATATTACATCTACTTGTTGGATGCAAGTGATCAGTCAGCAGGATCAGTCCATCGCACAGCATCATCGGTTGATCCCTTGAGAAATTTGTACTCAACTTCCCATTTCCAAATTTTGAACCACGAATTAAGACAAAGGAGACATTGGCTGACGGGGGAAGGACCAACAGATGGTATAGCAATATTTACTGACAGCACAGCATTCCACTAATTTCCTTTTAAATGTAGGCTGAAAACCTGCTTAAGTCTGGCAAGGCTCAAGTCAAATTAGGAGCCTTTCTAGTTTTGGACTCAGTGGATTACTGTCTACTTTTTACAGTTTTTCCTGAGGATTAGAACGCAATGTCAACACGGGTAATGGGGGCAGGAACTCCTGGGGCCTCTGACGCATGACAAACCTGGAAATCTCTGAGCTCCACAATGTGTTCATGCTTGATGTGTTTGAGGATCTCTATTTCCGTCAAGAGGTTCTCCACCGAGTTTTTGCTAAGGCTGCTCTTGAGGACACATTTGACAGCAACTACCTCACGCTGCTGGCCCTGGAAGAGAAAACAAGCACCTGACGGTCGCCCCCAGCTTTTCACAATAATTAGCAGCACTATCAAAACAATCATGTTACACCTTAACTATACTAAACGGTCCCAACAATTGTGCTGTAGTTGGTTGACTGGACCATCCGTAATCAAATGAGCCAGTGTGTGCCTTGGCATGTGCCATTTATTGTCATTAATTTTGTATATCAGTAATATATGCTAGCTAGCAGAACCTTGTTGGATAATGGATGAAATGTCAGTCCAAAGGCTGGTTCAGGCTTCAGACAAATTTGAAAACGAAGCAAATTTAACGTCCTGAAATATTTGCAGAGAAATTTCAGTCGAGTTGAAGTGAGCACGGTGAAGAAACTGAGAAATTTAAGCTACGCTACTAGTTTGGTAAGGAGCCCAAATGAGCTAGATATTTAAATCAATTTTCAACACACATTTATGTGTAGTTATTTGAAATTAAGAATATTTTGACAAGTTTGACAACGCGGAAAAAATCGCAAGAATGATTACTGTATCACTAATATCAGTGTTTATGATAGTGTAAGAATTATATGGGTGATATGAAATTAGATTAATTCGGAAAATAAATACAGTGGGCCTACAGTGTGTTTTCCCCAGCAAACTGTGGTGACTCATGATTTGAGTAATGACGATCCCTGACTAGGCCAGAGTGTAAACAGATAGGGCTCGGGTGCGGTGCAGCACGTTGGACTCCACCAGAATGTCCGAGGCATAAGAACACACCGCACTCTGGCAGTCTCCTGCGAAAATAACAACTTTCTTTCAGATGATTTGTATTTCATATACAACATGACGACACCCACCTTCCTATACGCCTTGTACACTGTCGCGTACGACCCACTTCCTAGTTTTTCTGTGAAGATAAACCCGTTTAGTTTGGGTTGTTTCGCAGACGAAGCAGCCATTGCGAGTGCAGTTTGTAAACATTGGATCTGGACAGAATCAATGGATGACAGGAAGACAAGAGGGCGGAGTTAGCATAAATTAAGTAATAAGAGCGCTCCCCGTTCCAACAATGAAAAAAAAATGCACCAATATTTCACAAGTCGAATTTTCACTTGAGGAATGCGGCACAACAGTAACGAAGGAGGCCTTTTCAACTTAACTAGTACAGAAAACCATCGTATTAGCAATATTTCCTCTGAAGATAGTGCCTGCCTCAGAAAAAGCTGATCCCGCCCACGTGCGTATGAGCCATGCGTTCTGGGGTTTGGGGTCAAAGTACTCAAGCGCGCCCTCAATATTTGGCGAAGAATAGTATGGCGTGCAGTTGTTTGCGGGGACTCAGAGGTTTAGTTAAATCTAACAGGTTGTTTTAATTACACATTTTTTTGTGTGTTATGTTAGGCACGAACTGCTATAATTTGTTGGTCTAACTTGCAGGCTTCTAAGGTTCCTCATTCTTCATCTTCATGGGAGAGATATTACGAAAGATCTTTGCGTCATTATCAGTTTTGAAGACTCAAGTTGTCGGTTTATTCTTTAATGCGTTGGACAGGCTCTCTGACAATTCGACCGTAACAACTCTTCAGAAATGATCCCACTCTGAAATCTGAAAGATGAAAGATCTATTTTCAGTGTTATTTTCGAGAGAGGTAACTTGAATAAATTTCGTAAAGGCCACGTTCTTTTTTCATCTTTATTTTATCTTTAAATTCTTCAATTTCTTCTTCATTGAAAAAAAAATTTGGCTTTATATTATACACAAATCAACCTCTGTTGACTGAATAATTTTATTGGAGTAACCCATAATTGCAACTGGAAGAATTCAAGAAGATTCCATAGATGAGTAAATCAAATTCAGCCGACTCAATTTTTTCTTACTACAAACTTCAAGTATGAAGTTCATTTGGGAGAAAATAATTTATAAAACAAACGATCGAAGACTGAAAGTTCAAAGTGTACAGGCAATTGGAATTTCGATTATACAGTTTTCCTAGACACACAGTAACAAAAAAAAAACTGAGGTCGCATTCGAGGTTTGCACAAATGCATTACTTTGCATAGAAAAATGACATGCATGGAAAAATGTCTTCATAGAAAAAGTAATCAAGTGAAGATGACGCTTGCAACATCTTGCATGACAGCATCATTTTTGTTCTTAAAACAAGACCAAAACAATTAAAACGAATACAAACTTTTATTAAAACTTCACATCAGTGTTTGGAGGACAATGTCTCAGCAACAGTTAACAAATTTCATTTAAAATGACAGACTGTCGTGGTGAATTCGTACAGAGCGGATTTTTCTAGAATAGCAAAAGCACAATGTTATGCTAGAACTGACCCCTTACAAGAATTTCTGAATGACAGCTCGCAAGATATCACATTTGAAGCTGTAAGGGGCTAGCCCCCACACCGTGGAATATATGATGGACATCGTGCCCTACCTACACTCAACCTGCCTTTATTTAAGGGTCTTCTGAACCCGCCACGAAATACGCAGGCAGGCCTCACAAAAATTAGTTTTAACGAGCGATAACGAGTACGAGCGCTCAAGCGAGTTTACGTCTGCTTCACTTTCACATCCCTATTAGTTCAATCAAAAACCTCGTGGTTAACACGGTATTTCTCAATGCACCAACACACACTTGAAGACTCGAACTATGCACATAAAACTACAGTGCCAATAAATAAGATTTTTAATTTTCACAAAACAAGTAAACATAACGCCGACTTCTAAAGATCTGGTGCCAAAAACCACATTAAACCTTCAAACGTAGAATAAATTGTGACATATTTTTTGCTTTGACGCAAGGTTCATGCATATTATAGCTTAATGTTATGCAGGGTCCGCCCACTTCAGGAATCCCAGCCAGGCTATTCACGACTGTGCACACCAAGCTGACCTCAGTCAGTGTGAAGTGGCGAGACCGCGGAGACGAGTTTCTTTCACTGAAGCTTACGCATCAAATAAAACGCAAACGTACCACACACCACGATCACAGAGTACATGTACTAGTGCTTCACCTTCCACGAAAAACCCAAACCTTGCGAATGTTGCGCGTAATTACCCACCGCAAAAACAGACACTAAAATATTTGAATAAAGCGCCTCCTGGTGTCTTTATCTTTAAACAATATATCCTGAAAAGCCACATATTGGATATCAAACTATAAGAATAATAAACGATATCTTAATATTTTACAAAATACAGATATCAACTACTGAAATCTCTGACGTTCTGGTACTACCAGTGGTAGAAATGATTGATTTTTTACGGCTTTCGATATGCCGCTACTATGCATATTAATTAGTGCAAAGTAGAACCCGCCCACTTATGCATATGAATCAATACATACTTGGACACAGTATGCAGTGTGACGAGGCCATTACACTCTCACGGTCACGTAAACTAGTGGTTTTATCTTATTTCCACAAGGATGGCGACGGACCGAGTCGCGTCGTCAAGTTAGGGTAAAAAAGATGCATTTCACGTCAAATATGAATGTTTTCTTCGACTGCAAAACTCTAACGCTGTTTTAAAGGGAACACTGAAGAAAAATCTGTTCAAGGTTTTTCGCTCAATAATGTTACTTTTTAAAAACAGATTTGGGCATAGAATTTCATCAGTCGACACGGTGAAAAATGCATATTTGATTGTACAAATCACATGCCTTACCCTTTCTCAAAATATTCATGTTATAGGACTGTCTATAAATATAAATGTGCGTATGAGATGATGGAAGCGGGGGCCAATACCTCCATGAATGGTTTAACCATAATATCACTGACGTGACCAGATCCCTTAGCTTCCTCATTTTGTGTGAACACAGCGTTTCATTAATTATTACTCCTGAAATCAGTCCCATACAATCCGATTATCCTTCAACAACAAACTTGCCGCGGACTATGTACTGTACATGTACGCAGGTTAACTTGAACGCCAAAATACTTTGACATGATCTACCTTTCCTTCGAAATTACGGAAGTATGCAATGACCTACATGTATGGATGCATGACCTGATGAAAATTTGGAAGAATGTCTCTTACTAGACAGGGTTGCTTCACTCAATAATGACTATATAAACAACCCAACCGGAACTTAAAATAAACAACCATAATGAGCACTTGATTTTCCACAGACTGATGGCTTAGAGATAGCATCAATGAAACCTATAAAGCAAATAAACATTTACCTCCACATTCATAATTTTGTGACGTTCAAAAGTAGGTGAGTTGCTGCGATTGTTGTACATGTAAAGTTTTTACTTTCAAATCCCCGCCCAGTTTTATTATTCGAAGGCAGTATACAATGTACGTGATGCCGTTTCAACCTACACGTACATAGAATGTGCATGTGGCATTTAACATCACCCGTACTCTGTGTGGCTGCACTCGTTCGTTCCTCCCACTTCACGCAAATTCACGCCCCAGAATAAGCTGTACATGTCCATGTACTGTACGTTTAGTACATGTACCCAAGCGCCGTACCGACCACTCGTCACTACCATTACATTCTAATCAACCTGCCACGAATTACGCAAGCAGGTTGTCCAAAAAATTGAAATTTCGATCAACCGAGTGCGCCCGCACTCCCACAATACCTCTTGTAAAACCCGCACACCTTTCCAATTCAAAAGTCGCCTCTTAGATAACACGGTGCTTTGGAATTCACCCAAACAAACTTGGACATTCCAACTGTGCCAATTAAACTGTATGTACCAAGGAAGAGACCACTAAATTACACAATACAAATACATATTACATGGACTAATAAAGGCTGGTGCCAAAATACACACTAACCTCCACATTTAGAGAGGATTCGGATCTACGGTGTGCTGCAAGCTTTATGCATATTACCATTTTATGCTAATCAGGGCCCGCCTATATCTCAACCTGTCGACGTGACTCCATCGATTGACCGACTTAGTGTACATGTACACGTACATGTATGTGTACATGTACGTGTACACTGTACATGTACATATACATGTACATGTATGTACTGTACATGTTCATGTACAATACCAGTCATGTACCAGATACCTCACCGCTCTCAGTCATAAATGAGATCAATGATATAAAAAGTATCTCCAGGTGCGTCCTATTGGCATTTTGTACATACAGGGGCCAAACCTGACCAGAGCCGGGGATGGCCACTCATGAATGCTGACAAGGAGACCGGCGGTGGCCCGGGGGACGAGGTTTAATTAAACCCAAATCACACCGTGAAGCTGGAAACAGGCTGACGATAACCTACACCGTGCACGTGTGCACAATGATCACCCCACTGAATCGTGTCCGCGTTAGTACCACCATGGCAACACCATGTAGAGTTAGGAACACATTACAGCATTTGAGAGTGATAAGCCCTCCAACCATAGAGCAAGGAACATGCTCTAACAAAGCACTCAGTACAGTCTCCTGACATCAGCGCAACCCGCACGAAGAGAAAATTACAACAATGTTTGAAAAAAAAACCCTGCCTCCTAGCAAAAAACGGTGTTTTATCATCAATGATACATCCTGAACAGCCTCATTAATGCATAGCAAACTACAGGAATAAAGACATTTTTTAATATTTAACAAATTCCACATCAGCTGATTACAGATTTTTATTTTTTACGTCGGCTACGGGTTTGGGGTCAATTACTTATGCGCCCTCAATAATCTCTTGCATGCTAGTGTTTGCGAGGAACTACAACCAGTCAGATTTAACTAAACCTCGAGGTTTAGTTAAATCTGACTGGTTGTTTAATTACAAAACGTTCATAATGTAGTAAGTTTTTGTGCGTAATATCCTGGAGGTAGGACACAGAAAGAGTTAAACTCTGGCAAATCAAAGTACTCGAATACAGAGGAATACTAAACATTGCCAAACTGCCTGACAACTGCCTCTAGCTTAGCCGGACGAGTGGGACTAGTAATATCTTAGCAATATTTGTGGTGTTCTTTGCAGTGACCAGGAAACAGAAAGAACAAATACCTAACATTAGATTTATTTTGCTGTCGTGAATATTTTTGAGATTGTGATGCACTTTTCTATTATCCATGCAATGTTTGTAATTTTATTTTGTCACTCCAAAGCATCAGTTTTCAAAGTCTCTGTACGAAGTTGGCTAAGACTGGCCAACAGCATGCTGTTTACCACAGGACAGATAAGTTTGTAACAAAATACGCTATATTTCATCATCACGAGTGATCATGAAATCTTAAAATGAAATAGTTTTGGGAGTTATTTCTTTGGTTAAAAGAGCTAAAAACCAGACTCATCTGTGTGACCCAATATTAATTTAATGCTTGGCTCATCTTGGGGTTGTGTACCTAGGCCCTATCTCACTGAAGAGTAAAGTTCATACGTTACTGCCAGGGAATCAGTACTGTAGTTCACTACTTTTTATGTGCACATTCTCTTGTCAATGAGGGCTTATCTACCACTAACAATCAACGGACAGTTGTATGTGGAAACCCATATTCACTAATGCCATATTGAGACAGAATACAACTACAATCAACAAGGGAATCCTGTCATGTTTATGATTATTTATATTGTATGAGTTGGATAGCCTGAGCCCAGGATAACAGTCCTATACTGGGCACGCCATAAAGTGGTAATTGGCCAGCTGTTATTTTTATGGCCCGGGCAGGTTAAACTCCTTCTGTGTTCTTCCTCCTTGATCTAACTCGCAGGCTTCCAGAATTACTCATTCTTTAATCTTCATGGGAGAGATTAGTACAAAAGATCTTTGTGTCATTTTTTAAGACCTGATTTCGTTGGTTTCAATTTTAAATTCATGCATTGGACCACAATACGAAGGCAACACCTCTTGGGAAATGACTCCACTCTGAAATTTGAAGGATGAAATTTCTACTTTCAGTGTTGTTTGGGAAAGAGGTAACTTGAATAATTTTTTAAAGGCCACGGATGATTAACTTGAGGTATAAACTGAAGTAGAATTCTAGAAAAATAATTTTAATTGCTTCTTTCAGCTTTATTTTAGCTTTCTTCAATTTCTTATTAAATGAAAAAATAAATATTTGGCTTTAATTATACATAAATCAACCTCTGTTAAATAGTTTTCATGGGAATAAATCATACATTGCAACTGGGAGAATTCACAAGGATTCCATAGATGAGTAAATCGAATTCAACCGACTTAATTTTTTCGTACTACAGACTTATAAAATACATTTGGGAGATTGATAATTTATAATACAAAAGATCAATGACTGATTCCAAGAATACACTGAGGCAATTGTAATTTCAATTAAACAGTATTCTAAGACACGCCATAAACAAACCAGAATATAAAGACTGAAGTAATGTTTGAGTTGTGCACAAATGTATTAATTTGCATAAATTTAATCAATAAAAATGTTTTCATAGAAAATGTAATCACGTGAAACTGACAATTGAAACACCATGCTTGACGACATCAATTTTCATTAAAAAAGACAAAAACGATTCAAATACAAACTGCTACAAAAACTTCACATCAGTTTTTGTGGGACAATATCTTTGTTTCAGCACCCGTTAGTAAATTTCATCCAGTAAAATGACAGACTGTCGTTGGTGAACTAGTGTAGTGAGGATTCTACCACAAAAGCTAACAAACCCTGCAATCCCATCACATCACTGCATTGGGACCCCTAATTAATCGGAGGAACATTTATATGCCAAAACTGACCCCTGAACATTTTTCTGAATGAAAGCTAGCAAAAGATTCACACGACCCAATCTATCAAAATGAGTCATTGAGTCATAATTTAAGCAGACCGATGTACCGCGTAAAACAATAGGATTCTTCAATAATTTTTTACCAACATAATGCCCTTCTTCCTAAGGATGCCAAACTGAGTGATACATCATAATAAAACGCTCAGTTTGCTCTTTCTAATGTAAACTGAAACAAATTTGGCCACAAGTACTCTAACGCTCACTACAAGATTAATGTGCAAAAAGTTTTCATGTGCAGCAAACTAGTGGTTCAGAACCCTACCCATAAAAGCTGAATTATCAATGCGTACAAGCCTAAAATTTTCCAAAGAAAGGGCAGTGCATGGAAGTCTTTTCATTGATCGTAAAATTTATTTCTTGGGTCCACATTTTTCAAACAGCACACTAGGGTTTTACGTCAGAAATGTCAAGGGCATTTTCCTAAGGGCAAATTACATTATCGCTGCATTAATACTCTTATAACTGATATTAGACTGAGATTATGTAAGTGTATGTTACAGTGTGATATTATTAGTTATCACATGAGCATGAGTGGAACACATAATATTGCAGTGCATCTGTGTCCCGTATACCACGAGACTGAAATGTACAGGACAGAGGCAATACATTATTGTGTTCCATGAGCGCAGGCGTGATAACAAATTTACCATCCAGCAAACTTGACGCACAGTAAAGATGTTATGAGGCCTATGCGTACAAAGTTTGCAAACGCACCACCTTTGAAGTTATAGTAAATTTTGCATTTGTGCATTTGGCTTTTAGCGTGAAAATAGGGCAATGCATTGAGTTAGAACAACACATTGCGTGGAATTTGATATAAACCGGGCAATACAGTTATGTTGCCATGGATCGACCAATCAGAATTGAGAATTCAAGTTTGCCTGATGACAAACATATACATGTATATGTAACTTGCATCAGATGGAATGTGTTTTCAGTCTTTACAAATCTGCTTGTTTTAATTTGTTTCTCTGACATTGATGTATGCGGATAATTTTTGTTTCTTTGAAAAGCCAGGATCATCTTCTGCGAGTCTTCCAGTCTTTTTATCATCTTAGTTCCTCGGACCCAAGCCAGAGGGCAAAACAGACTTCAGACAATGTGTGCTTGTCTCAGTGTAAACATATCTGGAGATAGAGATCACTGACCTTTAAATGTGAAGTTACTGCCCTCGGTGCTACCACTCCTTGAGCAACAGATTTTCAAAGAGGTTTTTTTTCCGTGATTAGGGAGTTTGAGATTGATTCCCTCTGCTCATTCCAGTGGAAGGATTGGGAACCGGTGTGTAGCTTCACTGATTTGTACTCGGCTCTGAACGCAAATGACCTATCCAGATTTTTTTTGGTGGAGACCGGTGGAGATGAATATATGTATCATGACGTCCAAATGTCACGAAGGAGCTGATGACTAACTGTATAGCTTAACCCACAAGCAAAGACCTACTGGGTTTTGTTAAAAAAATTGGTAGTGTGAAAATCTTGTCATATTCAGCCCATATTGCATTACAATTGGAAGCTCTTCGATTTAAAAAACTTTTGAAACAAAAACTCGTATAAAAATCACAAATTAGAAAAACAATTACAAATTCAATAAAACCAAGCCTAAGCATGAATAATAAATACACTTCATACCGGCATATTGGAAGTTACAATAAATAATTAGAAACTGGGATGTCAATATCCAGATCACACATCAAATTAAGCGCCAACTGCAGGATAATTATAAGTGACAATCTCAAACGGTATGAAAAAAGGATTAGTTTCTCGGTTAGAGGAAAGCCCCAGACAAATATACCAGGAAAAACCACCGAATCCGCCAGGGACTGAAACCCCTCAGAGGTGAAAGGCGACGGAAGAACCACTATGCCAACCCGAGTCCCCTCAGCTGTTTTTTTAGAGATTGGCTGTCATTCCCACCCAAGCCTTGATCAATTGATGCGCGATGGCTTGCCTCGGGGGTAGGAGGAGTGACTGCCTACCGCCGCTCTGGGAACCAGTCCCCCCGGTGGCAAGCCCGGCTTGTAAGGCAGCCGCCACATCCCTGCGCTCAAACCAGCGCGCGTCCTCCAGCTCTTCGGTGTCCACGGTGATTGCTGTGGAGACGGCATAGCCCAAACAGCCAATCATGAGCTGGGAGGGCATGGGCCAGGGCTGGGAGGAGTGGTAGGTCACATGACCCACCCGAATCCCGCTCTCCTCCAACACCTCACGACGGCAGGCATCTTCAACTGACTCGCCTGGAGAACCACACCAAACGAAAACAAGGCTCTTCAGTCTTCAATGTCACTGGCCTGTCAATTTCTATATAAATTCTAGGTTGACCACATTCAAACCCAAGCGATTTTTGCATGAAATGCTCAAAAATCTCAAGTTTGATTCACCTGAAGAATGAAGCGGCCATGTGCATTGCCAGGACTTTTCCGGGGGGGAGGCAAGTTTTTACCAAGGGGGGTGGTGTAGGGGGTAAAAAGTCATAGCAGCAAACTGATAAGGTATTTCCCAGAAAAATGGCAATTTCCATTCCCTTTCCTCTCTTTCTTTCCCAAATATTTCGGTGGGGCATTTTAAGTACTGCAAGTTTAGAGATGGGGACCCCAACACCATCTTTTATTTACCTGGCTCCATGAAGCCAGCCAGGCAGGAATACATGTTGCGCGGGAACTGCTTCTTCCTTCCGAGCAGTAACTGGTTCCCGTCAGGATGGACGACAGCCATGATAGCAACTGGGTCCACGCGCGGGTAGCTGGTGTTGTGAATGCCCTTCAAGCTGCGGCACTCTGAAATACGATCGATCAATGCAAAAACGTATCAGAAATGTTGAAGTCTTTTCCCAGTCTAAGAAAACGGAAGTAACAAGGTAGACTGAATCACCTTGAATAAGCCTTTTGCGAGTTACTTTGACCCAAATTTGGTACACTGAGTTCTTTAAATTCACGTGAACGTAACAACTTGAATTCTCCATACTTAAACCACTGTTACCATACCTCGTGATTCGGGGCAAGCTTTTGCTCAGTTACATAAGAGACGCCTTGCAACAATATACTGTTCTAAATGGACAAGAAGGGTGCAAAGGAACCAGTCTAATCCAGAAATGGTAGTCGCTATGCGAAAGCTTGCCCCAAATCATGAGGTATAGCAACAGTGTCTTTAGTCTGGGGAATTCAAATCGTTATGTTTATATGCAATCAGATAACTCAGTGTACCAGATTTTATTCAAATTTAACTTGCAAATGGCTTATTCAAAACCATGATCCCGAATGGAGTCCACCCTAAATTGAGGACTTCACCCTCGTGTTCCGTGTCCAATATCTATCCTTTTGGACTCATACATCCATCTGGATTTGTGTAAGTCCTGACTTGTTGAGTCCAGGCAGGGAGTTATAAGTAGGACTCAATTTAAGGCGGAACTTGAGCAAAGTCTTTTTCTCTGGTGTTAACACCTGGGACTCATACAAAGTATGGAATACAACAAGAGTGACTGGAATGGGGATCAGTATTATGATGCTCACGCCGAATACAAACTCTATGCATTCAAAACTTACCTACATGTACATGTACTGGTACTTGAAAACCAGAACTTGAAAGACAAAAGTTGGGATAAATGTAGCTAATACAGAAAATCTGCCCCACTCAAAATGCTTAGTTTGCAGAAGGAGCCACGAAAAAAGTGTACTAGTTCTGAGGTGAAAGCTTGAACACATTTGCAGTGTCCTTACCACTGTTTTGGCACGTGTGCTTGTAGCCAGCTTCCTCGATGCGCATCTCGCCTCCACAGGTGGGGCAAAACTTGTACCTGTCATGCCACGACAACAGTGCCCTCGCCTGGCCAATAATACCAGCCTCGTTGTCTGCCACCGACATCAGGGCCAGGTAGTTCCTCTCAGACAGCAGCTCGGCGTTTGGCTGCACCTCTCTGAGCCACTCTGGGGGGATATCACCCACATCCACTGCGAACCAAGCGGGGTGGTCCGGTCCGGGATCGTTACCACTTGAGGCAGGGCCGGTGATGGATGTCTGCCTGCTTTGGGGGACTGTAACATCTTCAACACCTAGGAAGACGGTTATGGGCTGCTCTGACTCTGGCTTTTCAAAGAGGAACTCGACCTGGCTGTAACGAAATCGGCACACTTCGCACTTGCGTTCCTTTGACCAGCTGACATACGGGCTGCTATGACTGAACAGCAGGAGGGTCGTTGATTGGTCGCGTAGTCTCTCCTTCAACCAGAGCTCATCTGTCCGCTTGTGACTGCACCGATCCAAGGGACTCAGCCCAAAGAAGTTGACAACATTGCTGCTACTGCCGCTGCTGTGTGCTCCTTGCGTGCGTTGGCTCAGGAGATGTGCGACAGCTGGATGGTGCCAAAACTCTGCGATAGCAAGAGCCGTCTGTCCGGCCTTGTTCAGTAGGGTGTGGTCACATCTACATTGTACAATGAGGCCAAGAAAGTGCAAAGAAAACTAGATTTGTGACTTTCATTAGGGTGACTGGTAGTGTATGTTATCTTCAGCTTTGCTGGGGCCTATTCAGAATAAGCATCTTATATGTGGGTGCCTGTAAATTTTTATGGAAACTTGGAACAGCTGTAAATTGGAGCCACACTTACAGAAAAGAGGCAAACACTTTTGATTGGTTGGAAGCTGTTGACTGACTTGGCCATTAGGTCAAGTCAGCGGACAGCTACCAACCAAATCAGCTGAATAGCCTGCAATCTGGAAATCTGCATGTAATCAGAGATGTCTTGCACAATAAATACCCAATTTTTTGACCAGTCGCTTGATCAACTTGGGCCAATGAAAATACATCACTCAAGGCAGAGGAGTCACAAAAACTATTATTTATGAAGCGATAAAGCAAACTGAGCCATTTGTCGAATTTTCATTTAAAGAAACATCTCAGAATAAAATGTCCAAATCAAATCTTGTCATGTTTCAACTTCCACCACTGTGGATCCTATTAAGGTTATTTCAACGTTGGGATTTTCATGGAGATGAAGTTGAAAGAATGAAATTTAATAAATTTGCCCGAGTCAACGAATTATTCATTTGCTTGATCATATCGCATTTTAAAACATATTTGAACCCTCAGAGCACAGAACAGTACTGGCAAAGGTTTTCAAGTCATAATTACCCTTTCTCCAAGAGCAGCTTGACCACCTTATCGTGTCCGTTCCTGGCAGCCAACATGAGCGCCGTCCAGCCGTGGTCGTCCATCCCGTCAATATCGGCCAGGCCATCGGCCAGTCGGGCCACGGACTGCAGATCCCCGCTGCTGGCGCTGGTGCGCAGCGCCCTCTGGATCTGGGACTTCACGGACTCGTTGCCCAGGTTCTCAGCCATGATGATCACTTAAGGAATTCCACTGCGGGTCTTGAGGACTTGCTGAGCAACATTCATTGAGAAAGATCTCAGTTAGTCCTTAAAGCTGGGATTATATAGATTATGTTTGACCGGAAAATGCAAGATGTAGACCTATCAATCAAATATCGGAATTACATGTAAGTCAGGGACCACAGAACAATGACTCTTGAGATTTCATTTGTACAGTATGTGCATGCATCTCACCACAACGCCAAATTTTGCAACCAACTAGGGCCCAGCAGGCTGTGTACAGAGGTCAACCATGGGCACTACAAGGCAAGAAGGAAAAAGGAGCAACCATTTCCTGCTATTGCTTCCCACAATTCCCTTCCCCCATTGTGCAAAATCAGCCTGTGGTATTGGTAGTGAGTTCCATGACATTTTGAGTTTGAGAAGGGACCCCAACAAGCTTGGTATCATTTGACAGCTTATGAACTGGGAAATCTGATGATACTGAATCTGCTCATTCCCTTGAAAATTAACCAAGATATTCCAACTTAATTGGAACAAGGTACAAAGTTTGCAATGCAAATGACCTCATAATAGTTCGCCTTCTCCTTTACAAGATTTTGGAAACTCATACTTGTGTATTTTTTGTTCGGTTATTTTGTCATGGATCCCATATAAGAGATGTCATGTACAAATGGAATAAGTGACATACAATACAATCAGAGGTACATGTACATGTACATTACGTCAGTCGTGGGGTGGTCAGGTCGGCATAGTGGTTCTTTCCTCGCATTTCACCTCTTGTGGTCCCTGGTTCGATTCCTGACCCGGTCCACACATGGATTGGGTTTTTCAGTCCCAACCTGATTTCATGGGTTTTACCCAGAATATTCTTCTGGGGTTTTCCTCCCGCCATTAAAACTGTAACTTCTTCTCACTGTCTCCTCTCTACAAGTTTCTTCAGGCTTTTGAGCTACATGTACACTGTCCAGGGTACTTTTGAGGAATCCTTGGTTTTCTTTACCAGAAAGCCAAATAAATAAATAAATAAGCAATGTATGAAGACCAAAATCTGCAGGCTAGTAATGTATAACGTTTGTTCCCTAGTGCACAACTCAACCAAGTCAACTAGCAAAGCTCTGTGAAAACTATAATAAGAACAAATCTAGGAAAGAGTTCCAAATACGAAAAACACTAACTTTCCCTTAAAATATTATAACAGCTGTCAGAAAATGATAACATGTCCCAAAAAGTGAAATTCAGCTTCATTTTTTCTAGTCTTCTCCGTAAAGATGTCATACATCAAGAGGAGATGGAGAAATTAAATTGCACTGTGTCATCTTACACGTATTAATTTGGAAAGGAAAGTGCCTGTAGACACCTTGGGTCATTTCGAAATTGACACATGGGAATCTAGCAACAGATATCCGAGGGAAGGATGGCATTTGACAGTAGTTAATGACGGACACGGTGAAGGAAAATTTACAAATTTTCCAAAAATTAGTTAACACATGGAGAAAGGACACAAAAGGAGTTTGAACTGCCCGGGCTATAACATCTGGCCGATTACCACTTTCTGGCATGCCCGGTATGTCCATAGCCTGAGCGCAGCTGTTTTGCAACCATAAGCTCCCTTTGTACCCCATGATCGTCGCCGCAATTTTTCGTTGGTAATCTGCACCCTAAAACGTTGTGTACTGCGGTATAGGAAGTTGAATATTCATGCCATCGTTGGTGCTTGATATGAACCGACAACATCATCAAATGTAGTGTTTGCGCAGTTGCTTTTATTAGGCTGTATACCCGAAGTGTTCATGTGCAGTTGTTGCCCTTATCGAACGCTTTCTTCTGGACTTCTTTTAGGAACAAATAGCGGAGCTGTTTGTAAGATTTTGTGTTTTGTTTGAATCATTTTTTTTGGTGGCATTTGTACAAAGGCGTATTTTATGAGATTTCATGATCACTCCTTATGATGAAATAGCGCATTTTGTTGCTAATGAACTAAGCTTTCCAGAAGTAGTGAACATTTTGTTGGCTAGTCTTAGCCAAATTCGTTCCAAGTCTTTTACACTGATGTATATTGGACGGAGGAGACTAGAATTACAAACTTTGCATGGATAATGAAAAAGTGTGTCAAAATTTTAAAAGTTTATTTATGATGGCAAAAGTAGGTCTAATATCAGGATTTTTTCTCTCTCTATTTCCTAGTCACATCGATAGTTTGTATTTAATTGCAAGCAAAAAACTACAAGTGTTGCCAGGGTATTACTGGCCCCACTTGTCCAGCTAAGATGCAGGCAGCAATAAGGCATTTTTTTAATGTTTTCTATTATTCGTCAGACTCGGCGGCGACCATCATTGGACGCTTTGAAGTGCCTGAGTTACAACTCCTTCTCCTCCTTCCTCCATGGTTAACATTACTAACCTGACTAAATCTTATAAAAACTGACAAAATTTTTCACTCTGCTTTAATCGAACTAATCCTCAGGCAATAAGTTACTGATTACCTGGACAAATAATTATTGCTGACAAGGAACTCACTGGCATGACTGGCAATGTGAAATTCCAAGTCTCCAATACCGGGATAATACGTCGGCCCAGATTAAACACAAGCCCACACATGACGTAGGCCTATGCCAAGTTAGCCTACCGGTAGATATTTTCTGTCACATGCGTATGGAGCAGTTCTTGGTGAATAGTGAAATACAACATGTATAGGCAATCACTTACACAATGCGATCCTTGCTTCCTATGGAACAGAAACCGTGGTACAAAAAGGTCTTCAGGATTGGAAATCAACCCGAACGCTTCTCTTCAAAGTATGGTGAACTATTTACGACAAACATTTTTCTCTCTCTCTTGCCTCCCTCCAGGCGACGCAACCAGACGAAGCGACGGCACGACGGCTCCCTTGCGTCGTGCCGTCAGGTCGAACCGTCGCCTTCTTGCCATTTCGTTTGTACACACACGACGCGTCGCGTCGTCGCCCGTCGCGTCGTGCTGTCTCAGGTCCTTTCCATGTTGCATTTTTGCCGCCTAAACGTCGCCCCTTCCGTCGCCCGTCGCGTCGTGCGTCGTGTTGTGCATCGCGTCGCCTGAAGCACGACGCGACGCACGACGCGACTCACGACGCGACGCGTTCTGTCGCCCTTTACTTACTTACTTTACTTTGGTGTTTATAGAGGGCGCCTTTACTGTTTTCTTTCATTTCCGTCCACCTTTCTTGCAAAGTACATGCAATTCGCTCTTTGGTGTTGATTTTTCATTGTTCTTATCTTATCGATTCATTAATTGGGATTAATTTCTGTCATATTTCATTGACATAATGATAAAAGAGCAAAAGAAAATCCGAATATGTAGGAACTGCTCCCTCAAAATAAGTGGAAACCGCAAGCTCAGAATTCGTTACTCCTTAATTTTCCAGCCAATGGTTTATTTTGTTCTCTCTCATTTCCGTCCATCGCTCTTGCAAAATACATGACATGAGCCGCAGGCGTTGATTTTTTTCTGGGGGGGAATGTTTCATCCATTCATCAAATTGAATTAGTCTTTGTCATATTTTATCGAAAAAAATGAAAACGAACAAAAAGAAAATCTGCGTATGGGGGTGCTCTCACATAATAAGTGTAAGCCCAGAATTCGTCACTTTTGAATTTACCTGGCTGATTCTTGTTCGAATGTCCGTCCAATTTCTTTTTAAGACCGTTGATGAAGTTCCCATTTGTGGTAGATTTGTAACTTTATAAATATTTCTCTGTGGTCCATGCCAGCAGTTTCCAAGTAGTTCTCCAACTCCTCCAGACAATCTTAGGTAGTTACCATCCGGCTTGCACTATATTATTACCCTCAGAATATTCAGTCTTCCTTCAGTTTAGTCTTCCCCGTTAACTTCATCAGCGCCACACTTTCAATGATATTAGTCCGCCGGCGTGTTTCTTAGTAAAACACTGTAGATCCTACTACCATTGTGACGGTGTCTTTTCTTCCTCTCTTTTTGGCCTCGCGCTTAATTTCTCATCAGATATAGATCCGCATGTTGCATTTTGCAAGCACGTAATAATGATTGATGTATTGTGTCTTAGAATGGATTTACAATAATTATCAGAAAAATCAGAATTAGATCAGGAAAAGCCAAAACATTTGTTGTGGCTGACGTTAATGTTATATATTTCGAAGTTCTTTCTGATTACATTTGATTTTTAAAAAGGGAAAAGAGTTTTCTTCAACAACTCACTCTTAATGAAAACACAAAGTTAGAAAGAATCCACGAAAAAGAACAACAGAATTAAGGCCTGGTACCTATGGCATGTACTGTGCAAGCACGAGCCGGGGAAAGGAAATGAAAGAAAACAATAAAGGCGCCCTTTATAAACACCATGAAGCAAAGGGCAACAGAACACGACGCGTCGCGCGAGTCGTGCGNAGTCTTCCTTCCGTTTAGTCTTCCTCGTTAACTTCATCAGCACCACACTTTCAATGATATCAGTCCGTGTTTCTTAATAAATACTGTAGATCCTACTACCATTGTAACGGTGTCTTTTCTTCCTCTCTGTTTGGCCTCGCGCTTAATTTCTCATCAGATCCGCATGTTGCATTTTGCAAGCACGTAATAATGATTGATGTATTGTATCTTAGAATCATTTACAACAATTACAAAAATCAGAATTAGATCAGGAAAAGCCAAAAAATTGTTGTGGCTGACGTTAATGTTATATATTTCGAAGTTCTTTCTGATCACATTTGATTTAAAAAAAAAAGGGAAAAGAGTTTTCTTCAACAACTCACTCTTAATGAAAACACAAAGTTAGAAAGAATCCACGAAAAAGAACAACAGAATTAAGGCCTGGTACCTGGCATGTACTGTGCAAGCACGGGCCGGGGAAAGGAAACGAAAGAAAACAGTAAAGGCGCCCTTTATACACACCATGAAGCAAAGGGCGACAGAACACGACGCGTCGCGAGTCGTGCGTCGCGTCGTGCTTCAGGCGCCACGATGCAAGACACGACGCACGACAGCACGACGCGACGGGCGACGGAAGGGGCGACGTTTAGGCAGAAAAAAATACAACGAGGAAAGAACCTACCTAAGACAGCACGACGCGACGGGCGACGGCACCCTGTAGTGTGTGTACAAACGAAATGGCAAGAAGGCGACGGTTTGACCCGACGGCACGACGCAAGGGAGCCGTCATGCCGTTGCGTCGTGCAGTTGCGTCGCCTGGAGTGAGGCAAGAGAGAGAGAGAGAGAGAGAGAAATGTTTGTCGTAAATAGTACACCATATCGAAGTGATATTAAGGCTTTTTTCCAATACTCGACTTCGTCTCCGTCGCAGCCTTCGTTCCCAAAACCAATCCCCGATTGTAGGCCTGAAGCATTTAAATTACACCGGATTACTATAATTTTTGGATTTTTAAATCTTATTTGATGTTCAGTGGCACTATTAGACTGATTACTGCGCTTACAGGTTCAAAGTCAGCAAGTAAAACACAGTTGAAGCCTGAGACGGAGCCGAAGTGAGTATTGATCATGGAAAACAGCCCAGGCTCTTTTCTATCCCCTCGTTCTCGACTATATTTTAAGTTCAATTATTCACTCTCTAAACTTAAGAAAAAGAGAGATTTTATGAAAGAAAACTTTGGACGTCTCAAACAAAATATTTATTTGCTTACGTTCATTTTATAACTGATTATTGTTCTAAATAAAAACAACATCTAGTCCATCCAATGGTAAATTTCATCCTTGTGACCTATGACCTTGCCACCTGGACATTCACTGCTGGCTGTTCGCCGACTAGATCTTTCGCGTTTTCGACAACTTGGGGTACCTCTCTTCCTGTTTTCATCGTGAAAAGCATGGGTACGTTTAATAAAACATATATTCGCTATGCTAATTATAAAAGATCCTTCTTTCTTTTTTTGACAAAGCTAGGCCCGCATCATGTCGCTCCCTCACCGTCATGACCATGTCCATGGCATGCTACTGTACATGTACATCATGTACTTACCATCATTGCAGGGTGGAATTTGAAATGACGTACAGTAAAAGCGGGAGATTTTCAAGATTTTCTGTTTTCAAAATTCTTAAAAAAATCATAGCTTCATTTACGGGACGTTTACACCCACACGAATGACTGTCTGGTGACTACTCTAATCTGACATTCAACATCAATTGATGCCCGAGTATTTCAGCCAGGCTTGCCGCCTTGTGAAAAGAGCCCAGATTGTGCAGTGTTATGTAACTTTCTTTTGTTCCCGAAACTGGCACAGTGCGCAGCTGGCGTCTTTTCAATAGGGGCCAGATTAGCGTGCAGCCGTATTCTATTGCTCATCGTTGGAGCGCTTTTGTCCCTGATGGTAATTCACTTGTGCTGAATGCCACAAACACAGCGGTATAATCTCTCAAAATAATGATGGATTTCCTTTATTGACAACTGAAAAAACTAGCAATTCCCAGCAGCTCGGTCTTCTGTTCTGAGTACAGTCTTTTGTTACAAGACCTAGCTCTTTTGTCTAGTTTCTGGCTCCCCAGTTTCGTGTATAAAGGTTATGTGCCCAAAGCCAGGCTCCCCGGCAGTATATGGTAAAAAGTACATGTAAATTGTATTGTGTTAGTGCTGATATTTGAAAGAAATAATTAAAGTGACACTTTGAATCAGTTATTTCATTTTGAAATCCAAAAGACCTACACACTGTGTAAGCAGGCTTGCCACATGTAAGCTTGCTGGCAATCAATCCAATAGTGCCCAGCTAAACTCACTAGTACTTTACATGTAACTGCTAAGTCCAACAGATTTCAACAAGATCAAGTCCAAGAAGTTTACTACTCCATCAACAGTATCCGATGACAGTGACAAACAGTTGGACCCTGCTGGATTTATTGTAAAACACTAACATGACTAATTAATGCATTATTGTCATTATCTTTCTGGTTTGTCCACAGCCGTCTCCACGAGTATCTCCTTCCTGCTGGCATCTTTGCTGGCCGTTTCCACATTTGCTGGCATGCAGATGTTCAAGGGGCAGCTGGCCTCGTCAGAGTGGATGACAATCCTGGGTGGTTTCCTGGGCTCTGTCTTCTTTTCTCTCACCTTGACTGTATCCTTGATGTCACTTCTCTGGATAGGACAAAAAAGAATGTGCTTAAATGGTCTATGAAATGAAATTTTGTTTTTCATTCCTCTTAATTGTAAGACATTTATCTGACTTGCGTTCTTGGTTACCCTTATTGAAAAGAGACTCATGTCCAAGCAAAGGCACACGTTCAAAGGTCTGTGCATTCTGCTCAGGCCCTCCAGGGATTTTCAACAAAGAAGTCATAATGTTAGATAGAGCATACTTTCCAGAACTTTGAGTCCACCAATTCTTGGAACTTCAGTTCCTCACAAAAGAGATTTGTGTGGTGTTACTGTAGACGTTTGTCTTTTTGCTGCCTCCGCCATCCAGACCTCCATATGGGAGGAATTCTATTCTTGGACATCACTAATTTCTCCGTGCTGTGGCATGTCAGCCATCAAAAATGATAAAATGTCCTAAAAGTCAAATTTAGCAGGGAAAATATTGAAGGATTTACTTACAAAATGCTTCAAATTCTTCAGACCACTCTCACTGGGTTTGTGTGCAGGGTGCAAGACTTGCAAGTAACGTCAGTTCATGGAACTATTGCCATTTGTATCCTTTTAAACGCCAAGAGTAATTCTTAACTAATTCTGGCAGGCCGTTGGGAATCTAGAATCTTTGCTGTTCGGGAAAGGTTTCCAGATGAAGCTTATCCCCGAAGGTAAGCCTACAGTGGTCCTTGTTAGCATTCAGGTGTTGTGGGCACAGTTTGAAAGACCACCTTGATATCAAGAGCACCAGCCCTTCCATATCCTTGAATAGCAGGGGCTTGTTAAATGTAAGCACTTGGCATTAATACATGTATTGTACCAACTTTTATTTGCTGATCATTTCTCTTTTCAAAACCATACTGTTTATGGTTTTTTCACTCATTGGGTGGATACAGGCCAACCGTACAATGGCGCATTTTATTTCAAAATCTCGCGAGAGATTCCATGAGATTCCAGCCATGCGCATGCGCGGTCATAACGCCACGGCGCAGTTTCAATGGTGACAGCAAAACAATTTTTCGTTACTTTTATCCACGATCATCACAGTAATCTTCGGCTCGTGAGAACCTTTGTTTGCCTGATTTCACTCCGTGATAATCATGGGCACAGCAGGAAAATCGAAGTCTGCAGAGATTGTCGGGAAACAACCGACAAACTCAGACAAAAACACCCGGCCAAACCGGGTGGCTTGCACCAGTACTAATGTACACACACGTATAAGCATGGCGGTTGTCACAACCAACACGCATGTAACATGCACTGATGCCTCAACCACTGCAAGCGCAACAATGCTGCCGCAACGCACGCCAACCAAGACGATAAGTTCAAGCAACTCAGACCTATCAAAGCCAAAAAAGGTGCGCTCTAGCAAGTCTACGGACGATGCAGTTATAGCCAGACTCAAGAGACTTGAGGAACTTATGAGCAAGCAGGCGAAAGAAACACAGAGTTTTCAAGAAGTGATCATGGGTGCATTGGCACCTTACATGGCAGTGGCTGACGATAACACCACTAGCTGCAATAGCTATGCAGGCACAGAGAATACATGTACTACTGAGGAGGTCAATTTGTGTGACCCAACGGATGATAACATGGTTTCTGAACCTACTTGTGCCACTAGACTAATGTCCATGAACCAACAAAACCCAGACTCAAAACCACAGGCACAGTTGGCTGACTCCGACCAGACTGCAACACCACAGGCACTGCCTACGGACAAAGGGTTTGCTTCCTGGTTTACTGTTCCGTCTGGGGTTGGTAACCCTATT